GGACACAGGGAAAAGGTAACCACAGGGAGGAAGTGGGAAGCCAATGTTATGAAACAAAATGTGAATGAACTGTCGTATGGAAAACAAATTTGTTCTGTAAATTTTCACCCAAATCACAATAAAATAAATAATATGTTCCTTATGTAATTAAAACTTGGTATTAAAATCTTAAGGAAAAAAAAAACTATATAAAAGATAAGCCTCAGAAGATCCTCTACTTGTGGTAGACTGCTTCATCTAAGACCCACCAGGGAATACACGTTCACTAGGAGTTTGTGACTTGACACAGCATGAATTCTCAGTCAAATTGGCTTACTTGGCTCCCAAATATGCTCTCTTCCTATCAGTCTGAGTCGACTCACTTTTCTTTCCTACTTAATGATGTTTTTCCATCCTTCAAGACCCAGCTTATATAGTCTCATCTCTTTTAGGAAGCTCTCCCTGACCGTACCAGTCCTCATTGCTCTCTTCCTCCCTCCATTGGCCTCTATGACACTGACTATACCTATTACCGAGCACTTGAAATAAGACTCCTGGTTTGCTATCTATCTTCCTAAGTTAGGCTTTATCTCCCTAACCAGCCAGCAAACCAGAACTGCATCTTTATGTCCTTGGTACCTAGCACAGAGATGGCATGGAGAACTAGACAGAGCACAGGACTTGGAGTCAGACAGACCTGCTGTATACACAGCATAACTGCCTTAACCTGTCTGGGCCTGTTTTCACCTGTGTTACTGTAGATATCAGTGAGATGATGGATGTAAAGGGACCCAGAATATATATATATATAAAAGAGGCTTCTTGATGGACAAATTAACTTAAACCTCTATCACGGTTGTAGTGTTTCACAATTAAAAACAAAAAAACTTTTAACAATGCAGTGAGGTAATCAGGGAGGAATTATTAGTCCCATTTTACACAAGAAATAATCGAGGCAAAGAGTTACATAGGGCTGCACAGTTACACAGGACAGGCAGATGGACTTCAGTAAGAAAGAGAAAAGGACCAGGGGTTAGAAGACCTGGATAGAAATGAACTACCCAAAGTCCTTAGGGCTTTCCCAGTTCACCCTCCTCTCCAAGTCATTTGCTAGAAACCAACTCTTCTCTCTAGCCATGTGAGCTTAGACAAGCCTCTTGCCCTCTCTAGATATCAGCTTCCACAATTTAAATGAGAGCTTTCCTAGTTATCTGTCTTAAAGTGTCCCTCAGCCCTGACATTCTAGTTTCCTATGATCGGCCCAGGGTCCTTCCCAGCAGGACTGCAAAAAGGTACTGTACATCCCAGATCGTCCTAGTTACTCCCAGGAAACCAGCTGAGACTGGCAGAATTTTTTTTTTACCATCCCCAACCCTAACCCACTCTCTTCCCTTCCATTCCCTGTGATCCCCCCTCCCTGTGCCCTTCCTTCTTAACTGTGCACTCCTGTCTGTCCAGCTTTCCCTCTGTGTGAATGCTGCCCCTCTGGTGCCCCATGACCTATTACTCCAAGGGGTGCATCTCCGTAGAGTAGGTGGGTGCATCACCCTGAATTGGGTGTTCTGCATGTAAGAGCCAATCCTTGGGAGTGAGTCCCATCCCAGGCCCGAAGGGTATCACAGGGCCCTAGTTTTGGGACTGGCAGATTTGATTTGAAAATTCAGTTGTACTTTGATTCAACCACATGGAGCTTCCAGCCTGTGGGAGGGTGGGTTAGTCATACCCAGAACTGGGGAAAAAATTCCAGCATTAAACTACATGTAAATAGAAACACAAACGCAAAACTGAACCAGACACCTCAGGAAAGTCCATTCCAAAGGTCAGATCTAACTTTTTGGACACAGAAATGCTGAAGAGAAAAGTTTCAACTGGGTGCCAGAAGATTTTCTGTTGCAAAAATGAACCTTGCATGTACTGAAGGCAAAAGAGGCTTGGTTTTGACTGGTCTAAACTGGGGCAAAGCTGTGCCCTGACCAGTGCCTGCTGCTGCCTCCAGATCCATTCCAAGGGCCCCCTGCCCCCGATACACACAAGTGCTTAAATAAACACAGAAAGTAGGACCAGACGCATGGGCATAAATGGGCATGTTTGTCCATAGGGCAGGGTTCACTGTGCAGCCCCCTCCTCTTGCTCCTGCTCTGACTTAGCATTCTAGCGAATGACTTGGAGAGGAGGGTGAACTATGAAAGCTCTAGGACATCGAAGGCACCGAACTACTCCAAATGATGAAATGTGGGGCTATGCAGTGTAGTAAATTACTTAGTGTGGCTTTTCTACCCGTAAGTCTTTGTAAACTCCAAGGTGGAATTTGCCATGAGCAACTGAGGAGCTCCTGATTGCTAAAGTTGTCCACCTGGGGTATTTCTGTTGGGAGTGGCACTAAACAATGTTCTGGGAGGTTCCCGCTCTCTCTCAGGTGCTTAGAATTCTGATGCTATGATTGGTTGGTTTGGCCACTCTGCCGGGCTCAAAGGGAGGCCTCCTAGAGGCAGAACTCTGACTGCAGGCTGAGGAAGGATGCACCCCTGAGAGACAAGCACTGCTGGGAAAGAGACACAAGAGACATGCATTGTTGAGAGAGACTGTGAGAGACTGTTGGTTGAGAGATGGCAGGCTGGGAGAGAGACTGAGCATTTTTCCTGAACTTGAATTGTAGCCTGGTGCTTCCCTAATAAACCCCATAATCTATGAGTTCTGTGTGGCCACTGCAGTGAATTATCGAACCCAGGAGAGAGGTTGGTGGGTGCTTTGGGAGGAATGGTTGGTGAAAGGGCTGGAGGGAGGCAGCATGTCTGGCCCTGCAGTAATAGGCCTTGGGCTATTGATGGTGATTCTGTCTTCCTCTCTAGAGGAGGTCAGAAGATGTGGCCTCCTTGCCTCTTTAGCAGGCTATGAAGATAAACCTCAGGAAGCTTGCCCCAGGATGAGGCTATATGGCAGTAAATTTCCCTGTGAGCCTCCCAGTAAAATATAATCCAAATTCATGTGTAGTAGGGATCCAGGCTACTGGGTCTGCCTAAGGAAGGAAGCCAAAGGTCACAGAATGCTGCTTATTTTAATTATAACACATGCCCCTACTATGTGCAAAGTAGTAGGCCAGGTTCTGGAGGAAAATGAGGAAAAGAGACCAGTTAGAGACTGTCTAAAGACCACTATCAATCAACTTGATGATCATCACACCATTTATCAAGATGTATGCAAATTCACCCAGGGTTCACCCAAAGTGCCTTGAAAGAAAAGCCTGGTGATCTGCTTCCAAAAAAATCAGCCACTGAAAACCCTTTGGAGCACAGTTCTATTCTGACACACATGGGATCACCACGACTGGGCACTAACTCAACGGCAACAACAGCAATATGCTTTATACATACTATTTCATGGGAGCTCTGGTAGCATAGTGCCTAAGGCACTTTGACTGCTAACCAGAAGGCTGGCGGTTCAAACCCACCAGCCACTCCTCGGAAGGAAGGTTGGGCAATCCTACTTCCGTAGTGATACTGCCTTGGAAACCCAAGGAGGGGTCGCTATGAGTCGGGGCTGACTCGACGGCAAATAACAACAACAACAACAACTTCATGTAATACCACAGCCTGAGGTAAACATTATTATCACTATTTTACAGATGACTAAAGTAAGACTGCATAGTGCCTAAGGCACTTGACTGCTAACCAGGAGGCTGGCGGTTCAAACCCACCAGCCACTCCTTAGAAGGAAGATAGGGCAATCTACTTCCGTAGCGATACTGCCTTGGAAACCCAAGAAGGGATCCGACCAAGAAGAAAACCAAGAAGGGCACATAACAACAACAAAGTAAGACTCATACAGATTAGGTCACGTGCCCAAGCTCACAGAGCTGGTAAATTGCAGAGGCAGAATTTGAAAACAGGTCTGCCTCCAAAAGTTGATGCTCTTTCCACGGTAATACAAACAGACTGGGAGATGGAAGTTTCAGCCAGCCAGCCAAGAAGAGAAGGAGGGATTTCTGAATATACTGGCTCAGTATAACACTCTTACTTGAGCATTGTATTTGCCACACACAATTGTTGTTGTTATGTGCCATCGAGTCACACCCGACTCAGAGCGACCCCTCCTTGGGTTTCCGAGGCAGTATCACTACGGAAGTAGATTGCCCAATCTTCCTTCCAAGGAATGGCTGGTGGGTTTGAACTGCCAGCCTTCCGGTTAGCAGTCAAGTGCCTTAGGCACTACATTACCACAGCTCCTTCACACAGTAGATACCCAATAAACTAATGGCAAAGGATGGAGGGTCAGAGCTGAGGTCCAAAATGCCACCCAAAATTCTGGGCATCTCAGAAAGGAAGGGTGTCTGGCCTAGAATATTCCCCGCAGAGGATCCCAGGAAAGCTGCAGCATGTCGGGAGAAAAGGAATGACTCCAATGAGCACTAGAATGGGGTGGGGCACTCTGCAAGGGCCAAGAAAGGGCCTGGGACGCTTTGCTCCGAAAGACAAAGAGGGGAGGAGAGAGAAGACTATAAACTTGCCAACAGCCTCACCAAGGTGAACCCCAGCTCCTGGCGCCTTCCCATTCATATTCATTCCACAAACACTAGCCAAATCTGAGAGGGAAGGGGGAGGGTGCCTCCCTGCAGCCTGCGAGAAGTTCACGACAGAGGCAGGGAAGGCCTGGGCGTTTCTCAGAAGGGCACCAACTTGGGGGACAAATGTGGGGCTCCAAAGATGAAAACACAAACCGATGCAGTAAGGCGCGGAGCAAACATACATGCGACGGGGCTAGTCACCAAAAGCGTTCGGGGTATGTCCCCCAACCTTTGAAGTCTGTCATCGAGGTGCCTCGAAGTCCCCCACAAACCGCCCCTCGGGCCTTCCCCCTGCCTCGACGGTTAGGACGCAAAGATTTGCGATGCGCTCTGTTCTACCAGATCTAAGGGGCAGGTTTCTAGGGCGCAGGTAAAAGGCTATTGCAGCTCCGGTCACGCCTGTACAGGTCAAGGCCAAGCCCTGTCCAGACCTCGACCCTTTCCTCCCTGGTCTCCTCACCTCCTCCCGCGCCAACGCTGCCCCCCGGCACCGGGGCATCTTAGCTGCGAAGGCAGTGGCCCCGGCTGGAGAGCTGAGGTCCTCCGCGGTGACGGCCAGGAACTCCGCGACGCTGAGCTGCTCGGGCATGGCGGGTGCGAGGTGAGGGCGCCGGGGCTGCTGGACCGGGGCGCGAGGGGCGCTGCGCTGTTCCGCGCTGAGCCAACCTCACCTCCCGCAGCGGGAGCAGTCTGGGCCTCCGCAAGCCCCGCCTCTCCGCACACCCCGCCCCTCCGTGCCGCCCCGACCACAACTGGCTTTGCTCGGCACAATCGCGTCCTCTGGCATCCTGGGAGCCCCTGACTCCCCCCGCCTAGCGCGCTCCTCGGCCCCGCCCCCGACCTTCCTGCTTTTCTCTCCTCTGTAGAGGGGATAGCTCCGCCTCCGGCCACACGCCGGGCTCCTAGGCCCCGCCCCCAAGAACCCCGCACCTAGCCTCTCTCCCAACTTCTCTGCCCCCCCCCGGGCTTAGCCGCCTCCAAGTTCCGCCTCTTGGCCCCTGCCCTGCCCCCTGCCTCCCTCAAAGCTTCGACTTGGCTTCGAACCCCTTTCTTCCTGCTCCAGGGCTCCCAAGTTCCCCTCTGTCCCACAGTCCTTCGGATGCCCCAGACCCGCACCCCTTTTCAATGCCCCTCCTCCAAGCCACCCTTGCGTCCTCTCCCCAACCAATTTATTCCCAACCTCTCACGGCCCCGCCCCCCTGCCTCGCACGCACTCTCCGCCTCCATCTCTCCCCTAGTCCCTCGCAGTCTCCTTGTCTCACTCTGCTCCAATCGCCCCACTCCTGCCTCACTCCACACACCCAGTTTTTATCCTAAGCTCTGCACGAGGCCATGGCCGCTTACCGCCCCTTAGCTCTGTCCCCAGCCACGTGCCCCGTCTCCAGGGACTGTTGCACCAATCTGCTTGCGAACTGTGACTTTGGGAAAATTACTTCTCTTCTCACCTCAGTTTTCACATCTGTAAAATGGGAGTCTGATCCCTACTTGGTTTTGAAGTTGCTGGGGAAAGAACTTGCAGTTAGGTGCTGTGGAGCGGATTTTTGACTCATAGCGACCCAATGTGACAGTAAAAGTGCTTCATGGATTTCTAAGCTGTGATCTTTACAGGAGCAAATCACTACAGCATTTCTCCCACAGAGCCACTGTTATTAGGTGCTGTCAAGTCGCCATTGACTCATAGCGACCCTATGTATAACAGAATAAACACTGCCTGGTCCTGTGCCATCTTCATAATCATTTCTATGTTTGAGTCCATCCATGCAGCCACTGTGTCAATCTATCTCATTAAGTGTGGAATCTCTACCAAGCATGGTATCCTTCTTCACGGCCTGGTCCCTTTTGATAACATAACCAAAGTGTCAGAGACGAAGTCTGGCCATCCTCACTTCTAAGGAGCATTCCAGCTATACTTCTTCCAAGACAAATTTGTTCATTCTACTGGCAGTCCATGGTTATTCAGCATTCTTCGCCAACACCAGGACTCAAAAGCATCAATTCTTCTGTGGTCTTCCTTATTTATAGTCCAGCTTTCACATGCATATGAGACAATTGAAAATACTATGGCTTGGGTCAGGCACACCTTAGTCCTCAAGGAGACACATCTTTGCTCCTCAGCACTTGAAAGAGGTCCTTTGCAGCTGACTTGCCCAGCTATATGTTGTCTGATGTCGTGACTGCTGCTTCTATTGGCATCAATTGTAGAACCGAGCAACGTGAATCGAAGTCTTTGATAACCCCAATCTTTTCTCCATTTATCATGATGCTGCTTATAGGTCCAGTTGTAAGGATTTTTGTTTTCTTTATATTGAGATGTAATCCATACTGCAGACTTTATTCTTCAATCTTCATCACTAAGTGCTTCAGGTCATCCTCACTTTCAGCAAGCAAAGTTGTGTCATCAGCGTATCACAGGTTGTTAATGATTCTTCCTCCAATCTTGATGCCATGTTCTTCTTCATATAGTCCAGCTTCTTGGATTATTTGCTCAGCATATAGATTAAACAAGTATGGTGAAAGGATACAACCCTGACACACTTCCTTCTTGATTTTAAACCATGCAGTGTCCCCTTGTTCTGTTCGAACGACAGCTTCCTGGTCTATGTACAGGTTCCTCATGAGTACAATTAAGTGTTCTGGAATTCTCATTCTTCTCAATGTTATCCACAATTTGTTATGAGCCACACAATCAAATGCTTTTGCATAGTCAATAAAACACAAATAAACATCTTCCTTATATTCTTTGCTTTGAGCCAAGATCCATCTGACATTAGATGTGGTATCTCTTGCTCCGTGTCCCCTTCTGAATCCAGCTTGAATTTCTGGAAGTTCTCTGTCAATATACTGTTACAATCGTTTTTGAATTATCTTCAGTAAGATCTTACTTGTGTGCAATATTAATGATATGGTTTGATAACTTCCACATTCTGTGGGATCACCTTTCTTTGGAATGGGTGCA